TCGTCTCCCCCCTCGATGTCTCCAATTTCCGGCCAGTGGTGGTGGGTGGAGTGGAACAGCGGCGGTGTGGAGGGCTGTCGGCTGCTTTCAGGCGGTTAGGGGGTCGGAGGAGCAGCGGTCACTGTCATCCTTAGCTCTGCTCTCTCTTTCCTCTCGTGCAGAGTGTCGGGAGGGCGGGTCGAGCACTGTCGAACTTCGCTAGTGGTGTTAGAGGGTTCGGTCCGGTGCTGGTTCCTTGGCTATTTGGGTGTGGTGGCTGTGTTGTGAGTTGGCTCAGAGGATGTTTCGGGGCTTGGATTTCGACTTCGCTAGGCCGCCGAGTTGGTGTTGGGCAGTTTCGGAGTCGGTCCTCTTTGGCTGTGGGAATCTCTTTGGGTCGACTCGGTTTCGTTGGCTCTACTTGGTCTTGCTGTTTATGAAGGGCTTGTTTAGTTTGTTTAGTTTCGTATTGTGATTGTTTTGTTTGATTTAGTTGTTGTCTGTTTTGTAGGTTTGTGTTTTTGGTTTGGGCATTTGGCTTCTGATTTCACCCGAGTGAGAGCTTTATTATCATGTTGGGATCGTTTCTCACTCGGGCATTATCCTTTTGGGATCTTTTAGTTAGTGTTTTGTAGTTTGTGTTTGTGTTTTTTTAGCGTTGCTAGGTCCGGCTCTAGGCGACCTTCGAGTCTGCCTCCCAGTTTATTCAGCCGATGGTTGTATCTTTCAGCCTTTGGCTGATTTTCTTTCCGCACTTTGTGCGCTTTATAATACCTCTATCGTTCCGGGAAAAACAAAAAGAAGAAGAAATTCTAAAAGAAACTTTTAGAATGGAAAAACCCGAATCATCTGCAACAAAAAATGATCGAGGAATGGATGCTGAGTTTGAAAGAAAACCTTCAATAACTCCTAAAACGCCTAGATCATCTAACAACAATACCGGTATCCCAGGTGGAGAAGTTCATACAGCCTCAATCTTAGATATAGACTGTAAGAATTCAGAAATAATTAAAAAATTAGTTGATAAATGGGGACTATAAATGAGTTGTGATTAATCTCAATCCTACTACTTGTAAGTTATAATAGCACATCACAACTTGTGTTAGCACTTACTGAGCATAGAATGCTTGAAAATGCACAAAATTTTATAAAAAAGAGTTCAATGCACTTGTTGAGCATAGAATGCTTGAAAATGCGCAAAATTTTATAAAAAGAGTTCAATGGGATACTTAAAATATAAATCCTACAGCAATAGTTTATATACTTTGTTTTTAGGCATTGATTGGTTATCAAATGCATAAAACGAAAAACTCATAGAAGTGCAGAGTTTTTCGAGGTTGCGCTTCAACTTTTGGTGCTACATAATCTTGTGTCGAATTATGTTGATTCATACTTATTTATCAATTTTTTGTGCTTTGTAATAATCCATGTATATTTAGACTTATGTCAACACGTGACTAACTTAAATATAAAATATATTTTAAAAGTTAATATATTTTTTATTTTTTTTAATTAAATTTTTATATATGATATATCAAATTAATAATCACTTGACAAGCTTTGATTTAATATCCATAATTCAATATAGAATAAATAATTACTTTTGTATTTATAATAAAAATTAAAATATCTACTAATCCTAACTGAAAGATAATATAATTATTTCTCAATTAAATAAATTATCTATAATAAATTATCTATAAAGTGATTCGATATGAGTTTAGAAAAATTATTATGATATAAGACGAGTAAGTCCTGCAAGTGACATGTGATATTTTAAATAGTAGTAATAATTATTTTAAAAAAAATGTTTTAAATCTAAAACAAAAGACTCTTTTTTCTTTATTTTAAAATTTTAAATATAAATTTTTTAATACCAATATCATATATGCCTATACAACGAGTGTTGTACTCCTCAAACTAAAGTTGACACTATTAAAAAAAAAAGTTAAATTCTAATGACAAAAATGTTCGTTGGAATTTCCAATGAATATTCCAACAACTTAATTTTATGTTGGAATATTCCAACAAATATTAAAACTGTTGGAAAATTCATATGAGAAAATCTTTGAAAAATAATTCAATGAATTTCCAATGTAATTATGTAGGAATTCTAAGTTAATCANACAATTTTAAAAAATACTTCAATTTTTTGCAGATAATGATTGAAATTTCCTTACCAAAAATATCTCATTTTGTTAACTAAAATGCTACAATATCTCTACACGACTTTGCACATTTATTTCCGATAAATTTTTTTTCTTAACAACAAATATAATATCCAATTTTGTAGCATTTTATTTGATCACAAATTTCTTAATGACTATAGATTTCATCGAAATTGTCATATATTTTGCCAATTGATCATTAGTATATGAAAGAGATCGATCGGAATTGACGGGATATTCATAATCACATAAATCGGATATTATCCCTTAAAAAGATTAGTAAAACCCATAAATCCATAAATATCTTTAAATCCACAAGTAGTCGTATAGTTAATAATCATTACTATATAAATATTAAGAATCTTGAACAACATATATTCTATGTCATACACATCCCGCAATACAACTTTTTGACGAAGTTTTTATAACATCATTCAACATGCCTTTGAATTTTGGAGTCATCAAGGATATCCAAAGATCCAATAAGCCACCAATCAAGCTACGCATAATTAGGATGTTCCAACGTGTTGAAGACGTACGCAATTACCGAAATGTTCTTGAGATTATCTTTCACGATTCGGAGGTAATATATTCGCACATTCATAATGTATTTAAATTTAAATTTAAATTTATATGATTGTGTTTATTAAATTATTCAATATGTATTGTCTTAAAGATTACGAATTACTGGCATAATTCGACCTGTGAATATCAAAAAATTCATCAGCGATATTGAAGAAGGTGGTAAGTATGTCTTGACAAACTATCAAGTTGAAAGCAATATTGACATCTATAAATCGACGATAGGAAAATGAGGGATTATTATCCATGGCCAAACCAAGATTGTCAAATGGAAGGAGAATTTTCCTATGCATCGTTTTGAGTTTAGAAACTTCCTAACTTTGATGGATGTTCGTAAGATTGAAGAAGCCATGTTGTTTGGTACGTTATCTAATCGTAATATTTATTTATTTATATTTAAATTTTGTAATATACTATACTATTTTGTATGTTGCATTTTGAATATGATGCATTTTTTTTATACTTATGTAGATATTATTGGATTGGTTGTTTCAATACAACCTATTCAAATGAAGGTTGTCAAGGGAGTTCCTACCCAAATGATAGTATTCTCTATTATGGATTTGGAGTAAGCATCTATATCCTATATATATATCTTTTTTATTCTATCGTTTTGTATGTATTTCTTTTTTTTAAAAAAATATTTTGTTGGGACTAAATTGTTTTACATATTTACCTATTTACAAAAAAGAAAAGATTATTTTGATCATTTTTTTATATAAATTTCTTATTCCGATTTTTGATTTTATAAATATTGTGTCGACATTGTCTAGGGGGACGTAAAAGAATGCACTGTTTGGGGGTGATATGTTGATCAGTTGGTTACTTTGGAGCATCATTATAAAAATGAGGGGTCACCTTTTGTCATCATAATGCAAATGTGCCGTGCAAGAGAGTGGAAAGATTATCTTTGATTGTAATTCATGATTTTTTCAATATATTTGTTCGATCATTTGCTTTATACTAATTGTTTATTGGATATTACAATATCTATAGTAATATAAAAAGGTTATTGGAAAAATACATTTATAGTAAGTTTGACTAAAAAATAAATGGTTTGACTTAGTATTTGTGGAAATTTAGTAAAAAACACAATCAATCTTTAAAAACCAAATTTAATTGAGGTATCCCTACAAATTTGGATATTCTTATGGTAACAAATTTAGAGATTTGTATGCCAAAATTTAATTCATTTATTAAATATGAATACCATATTAATCTCATTTTTATTGATTACAAATTTGGAGATTCTTATACCAAAAATTTGAGATTTTAAATTGAGATATTCCAACATTACGGATTTTTTCCATTCAAATTAATATTGTAAATCAAACAAAAAATTGTTCCGGGAATAATGGATCCTATACTAAATATTGATAATCTCGAATCTTCCATAAATTATTTATATTTATGAATTTTGTGTGAAAATATATTGATGTTTTTTTCGTAAATAAAAATAAATTACATTATTTCATGACCTAATTTCTAATTTTTTTTCCTATTTTTTTGTGGTTTATATCTTTTATTTGAAATAATATATGGCTTATCTGTTACTATAAAATATAGGAATTTATTTTAAGTAGAAAGTAAAATCCCGCATAAAAATTTGAATTTTACTACAATGGGTAACTTTTTTTAAAATCTATATATATTAAAAAAGAGAGGCAGATAAATCAAATGAGGAAAGTTTTAAGAAATTCGCAGTCAACCCTTTTGACTTACTGAATATGGTAACCATTTTAAAAATCCATTTTAAACATCCCAAAACTCATTCACGCGCTCACATTTATCTGTCTGTTATCTTCAGAACAGATTTTTTCTGCATAATTCACGCATGTACAATATTGTTACGCGTTAAAAAAAATCTCAAAATCAGTTGTTTAATATCCTAACAAAATCATTCCATATTTTCCGTAGAGATAAACATGTAGAGAGTCTATAAAGAAGTATTCACTGATACGGTCAGTATTCACCCTCCATAAATCCGGTTAAGGGGGCTGCTGTGACCCTCTAACAGTAGCCCCGGCTGTTAGTTTACAGCCCTTAGATCAATTTTAATTAAACAAAATATAAGGGCTTAAAATAAGGAACACATACCCTCACAATCACAAGTCTTCCCCACCAGAAAAAGCAGAATCACAAGTTGCGATTTCTTAAGCTTTTTTGATTGCTAAATCCAATTTGAAGCTCTGTAATTTTCCCGCGAACAATCGTTAATGGAGGCTAACGAGTTTGGACTTTATCACGATTCTGTTATTTTGAAGTGCAGTTTCAATGTATGCAATCTGGCGACGGGTCGAGGGTCAGGAGGCCGTAGGTGGTGGAGGTGAGGGAGACGATGTGGGGGCTGAAGGCGGCGGACCCGCCGATTTGGGAAAAGCCGTCGTCTTGGTTTAGGAAAGTGGATGAGACACAACCATTTGTGTGTGAATCAGAAATGCGAGAGAAGGAATAGTTTGGTTTAACTGAAGATTTGGGAGTTTTGGGCTCATTCAATTTTTTGAAATGTGGGGCTGTGAGGGTAGTAAATGCAGTGTGGCCATGGCGGTTTTAGCTTTGCTTTATTGTGAAATTTTGGTTATTTAGGTAACTTTTGAAGTTTGGTTGCCTGGGTTTATAGTTTAAGCTTCTTGATGTCTTGATATCAATGAGATTCATTCGTTAAAAATGTTGCAGGTTTTATGATTTGCTTATGCTCTGTTTGTGATGAAAAATGGTTTCTAATTTTGGTGAGTTTCTGCTTTCTCAAATCTGTGGAATTAGATTTTGTTTAATAAATGCATGTATTCTTTATTTTAAGCCCTTAAATTTTGTTTAATTAGAATTGATCTAAGGGCTGTAAACTAACAGATGGGGCTGCTGTTAGTGGGTCCCCCCTTACCCCCATAAACCACGCCTTATCCTCCTTCTCTCTTCCTTTTCCAAGTTTATTTATATTTTTTTTTCTGGCTGACGTTTAACCGGCCAGACCGAGATCGCCTGAGGGCACCGAACCGAGAGCACCAGGTTCCGGCGAACGGGCGAATCAGAACCTCGCGGCTGGAGCAGCGAGAGCAAGCAGCCCGCGGCTGAGCATGTTTCTGAGCACATCCGGCAACGGGTGAGGCTTCTTCCAGGAACAGGAGCGCGCTCTTCCATGGCAGAGATGAGGATTCTCGCGGGGTTGAGAAATCACGGAAAACGACTTTTGCATTGTGACTGAGAAAGGAAATGAGTATTATGGTTCAGGAGAAAAGGGGATGTCCAGACAGATTGTAAAGGTTAGACTTGGAATAGATGCAAAAGTTGCTCTTGAGGTTATGAGACTTTTTTTCTTTCTTTTTCTGGAAAAAAAAAATGTTTCTCATAAGGTACTGCAAACACCTGCTCGAGGTTCGCCTCTTTTCAACATATTCTCACGATTAAGGATGTGTAGTTTGTGGTGCAGAAATTATCAAAATGTGTTTTCTTTTAATAATTAGACTAAATGTTAGGGGCATCTCTTGTGAGTAGCCCCATTTGCACTGTAGGAGCAAAAAAACTTGTTTGTGTGAGATTCTGGTGCTGATATTATGTGTTTTGATAATGATGTGCTCACAATGGAAAAATGATGTACTCTAATAGGAGGATGATAGATGAAAACCCCTTCAAGAATGATCTTGCTGTAAGTTTTCTGTCTTACATGATGACCTATTATGATAGTATATATTTGGATGCAACACTGATATGCCTTTTTCCCTGAATTTGTGGGACCTTATTTGTAGGCTTTAAAATGGATGAGGGAAGAATTCCCACAGTAGCAATACTTATGATAATCATTTCAGGTTGTTTATTTGTTAGCTGCAGAAGTACTTGGAGTCAGATCCATCAAGGTAGCTAGCAGACTTATCATAAGTATGATGGCAGGTAAGCACATATAGTATTCTCACTATAAATAACATTTTGTTTTCAACTTTATAGTTTCTTGCACTTAAGCTGCAAAATGCCCTTGAAGGTTAGTTTATTCCAGTGTGATTATCTTCTCTACTCATGTCAAATATTTGATAATTATTCACTAACGTATGTGTAGATTCATGGATATATTCCAAGAAGTTTATGAATCAAACTAGAAATTGAAGTTGAGGAAGCAAGAATCTGGCATTCCCATCGACATTACAAAAAAAGGGCATTTTAGTAAGCTGCAAATAAAATTAAGTTGTTTCGAACTCTCTCCTAGGACTTTTGAAATGTTATAATCTTTTATGCGACAAGATTTTACATTTTTTATTTGAGAAGTTGTATGGCTTTTTTCTTTTCAAGTTACAAGCAGTCGCCTTCCTACCCGTTATTATTGACGACTTTCTTATACTATAACATAGGGCCCTGTAACACACCTCTGTTTGTCAATTAGACTGTAACTGATTGAATTATAATAAAGTTTAGATATTTGCATTCTATATGAGTTCATATTGATTATCTAATTTGCGAGGATGTACCCATTCTCCCGAAGTTATGGGATTATTGAATTCTATATTGTGCATGCTTCAGTTAATTAATAATATTTGGTCTTGACTTCTTATGCAAACTTTGATTTTCTTTTTGTTTTTTTGGTAGTATACAACTGCCCTTTACCTTGAAATTTAGTTTTTTAAGTGAATTATTCTTCTTCTAGACTGCTACTCATAATTTCACGACATTGTTATGATTGTTCAGAAGATAATGTACTAATGTGATGTAGTTTTTAAGTTATTTGATGTTCCTTTATATAATCATATGTAGTTTTCATAAGTGAAACAAGGTCTGACATTTACCACTTGCGCCAGAATTTCATGATTCACATTTGATTTTGTTTATTATTTTATACAATTGTGGTAATTTATGAATATTGGATTGTTTAACTTTCTAATTTTTTAGCTTAACTTATGCTTCACGAGTGCATGAACATATTCAAACTGAGCTTTTAGCTTCTAACTTCATTAGTCTGTTAGAGGCCTAATATTATTTGTCCTTATAGTTTTCTTGGAGAGAGGACTTCGGCGTTGGGATCCGATCGATTCTTCTCTCATGCTGGAGACGTACCAGGCCTGTGTTAGTCTCCAGAGAATATGATTGTGCTGATGATACCTTTGTCCTGCTTCAGTTTTACGCACACGTGTTTCAACAAATGTGTCGAGCACAAGTATGTGTTACCGAATGCATAGTACATATTATTTCTTGAAAGTTTGATATTGTGTATCGCTTAGTTTTTTATATGTTGCAGTTTGTATCATTTATGAATGTTTATGATTAGAATCACTTTAAGCATGTAATCAAAGGGAATTGAATTTTCCTGTTTTTACATACACAAAGAATTCGAACTAAACATGGGTGAAAACAACTGCATTGATAGATGTATTTCAAAGTATTGGCAGGCGTAGTTGGTTTTTGCGATTCTTTTGATGTTTAGCCATTGTGGGAATCCATGCTTGTGAACATATTCTTTATATAATATGAGAGTCATTTATAATTTTATTGTAGCACATCCAGAATCTAATGTCTGCACAAACTCTTTTTAGGGTTGCATTTAAGTTCCAGCGGCGACAGTTTCCACTTATGGTTTCGTATGCCATGACCATAAACAAGAGTCATTGTCGCACATTTTCATGTTCTTGAAGAAACCTGTTTTTAGTCAAGACCAATTATGTTGTTTCGCGTGTAACTAATAGAAAGGGTTTAGAATATTAGTCTATTGGAATGACGTATACAATGATGTATTTAATAATATATATTTTTGGTGATGAACATTTTAGAATTGAACAATTTCCCTACGTATTATAACACTTTATCTATTAATATACTTTAACTTATAATATTTCCTAATAAATACAGCCCGTACATCGCACGGGTTACGTACTAGTTCTTTGAAAACTGGCGGTTGATTTACTATTTGTGGAAATTTTGTAAAAAACACATGTCAATCTTTAGAAAACAAATTTAATTGAGATATCCCTACAAACTTGGAGATTCTTATGGTAACAAATTTGGAGATTCTTAGGCCAAAATTTAATTCATTTATTAAATATGAATACCATATTAATCCCATTTTTATTGGTTTTTTTTTCCCGAAACGATAGATAGTTTTATAAATCAAAATACACAAATGTGCGAATACACAGCAACCAACGGCTGAATACACAGCAGCCAACAGCTGAAAAAGTGGGAGGACAGGTTAGAAGCCCGCCTAGAGACCCGCTACCAACGCTAGAATAAAAACTCGCACTAAACAGACCAACTACAAAACACAACAAACAATACAAAGACCCCAATAGGGTAATACCGAGTGTCGGACCCCAACAGGGTAATAAAGGTGACACTCGGACGCACAGAGGCCAAATGGCCCAAACCTAAAAGACAAGAACAACACAGACACAAATACGACGAAACAAAAAAACAACATATAAAACTAAAAAACTAACAGCCCTTCCCCGACGAACGAGCTAGCACAAACCAGCAGTGAACGGTCGACACAAGACAAATCCGGCCAGGAGTCTGCTACCGAAGCTGCAATCAAGCCTATACAGTAGTAGAAATCTAACCCGAACCAATCCCCGAATCGACCCATCCATGACCGAGAGAGCCGTGGTCCATCCCACACCTAATCCATCCGCACTCTTCTAACACCACTAGACGAGTCCGAAAGGATCTCCCACGCCTCCTAACACCACTAGTCGACGGAGAACAGAGCAAGAGAGAAATAGCCCTCCCCCCGACCGCCACGACAAGGAGTGCCGCAGTAATCAGGGACCCACCCCACCCGGTTACAATGGAGATTTCTTATGCTAGAAAGTTGAGATTTTGAATTGAGATATCCCAACAATTAAGGATTTTTTTCATTCAAATTAATGTTGTAAATCAAACAAAAAATTGTTCCGAGAATAATGGATCCTATACTAAATATTGATAAACTCGAATCCTCCATAAATTATTTACATTTGTGTAAATATATTGATTTTTTTCGTAAATAAAAATAAATTACATTATTTTATGACCTAACTTCTAACTTTTTTTATATTTTTTGTTGGTTTATATTTTTTATTTGAAATAATATATGGCTTATCTATTACTATAAAATATAGGGATTTACTTTAAGTAGAAAGTAAAAATACGTATAAAAATTTAAATTTTACTACAATTGGTAACTTTTTAAAATTCTTTGAAAAAATGGCGGTTGATTTCTAATTTTAATTTCAAATTCATTTAAACATTTAAAGGAAAGTATTATAAGCAGTTTCTTTTAGATACATTCCATTTTATTTTAACTTACATATTTTTTATGTTTATTTGTAGTTTTTGTTTGTGTGTTGCGTTGTTTTGCTATTGTTTGTGTTGTCAGTGTTTTAGGTTTGGGCTGTTGGCCCCTGTGAGCCCAAGTGTCAAATTTATTACTCCGCGGGGGTCCGACACTCGGGTATTACTCCGTTGGGGGTCTTGTTTAGTTTTGTTGGTGTAGTTAGTTTCGTGTGGTTGTGTTTTTCGTTGTTTTCGTGCGTGTTGCCCGAGTATTACCCCGTTGGGGTCGGCTCTAGGAGATCTCTGGATCTGCTTCCCAGTTTTCTAGTCTCTGGTTGTACTATTCAGCCTTTGGCTGCCTTTTCTTCGCACTTTGTGCGGTTTTTGTTAATATAATACCTCTATCGTTTCGGGAAAAAAAAAAAACATTAAATTTGATTATATATTCTTAGATCAATTATATCAATAAATAATATTAATATACATTAAATATTTATCATTACATAAAAAAAGAGTATTACTTCTATAAGTGTTATAAATAATAATGACATTATATGATAATAAATTTTTGAATAAAATAATATTTGAGGATTATGATGAACCAAAATATGTAAAATTATTAGTTTTTCTGTATTAAAAATAAATATATATGTTAAAAATTATATTAATATAAACGTGTCAGTGGGCTAATTTATTGTTAAAATAAAGTTCTGAAAAAAATGTCCTAAAGTACGAAACCCCGTGCATCGCACGAGATTCTCACTAGTTTAAAATAAAACATTGTGTACAAATTGTTGTTGTATGAAATTAACAACTTGAAATTACAAACAGCTGGGTGTGTTAAAACAAAAATTAATGTAAAGTTGGATTTTATTGATATATTCACAAGAGTACAGGAAGTCGGTTTTTTC